TAAGCCCATGCTGGTTATCTGTATGGTTGTATCCCATACGTATGAACAGGTGCACTATTTGTGGTCAATGCGTATTCCATGAACTTACCTTGTATTTTCATTCATCTCTGTGTGTACGCTGCGTTTGGCAGATTCTATAATCAATTTAAAACATCTTGCAGATTCATCGTTATACTTCGTACGTATTTCAAAGCATCGTTCATTTATATCATATTTTATCGTAACGTATTTTGCAGTTTCATGTTGTATAGTCTAGGTCGTAATACAATATTTTATAGCATATTTGGTAACATTTTCTTTTAAAGTTTTATGTAATGTGTTGTAACGAGTGAATGAGTGATGTAGCCCACCGAAGCCAACGAACATTGTAGCGAGACGAAGACCCAAAAAGGCACCTCGTGGACGGTTTTCGAGAGTACAAATGCGGACTTACGAGATTCTTAACTCGAAGCCCAGCTTCTATCAGCAGCACGTGTGATTCAAGTAACTTTTTCCGTTTCGCGTTCCAATGAATTTGTGATGATTGCCCGGCTAAATTTGTGCGCTTGCTGATCTCCATTTGCAGCATTTGATAAATTTCAACAAGAGAAGAGCTTGACGCATGTTTTGATTTGCCGTAAGCGTTACGCAAGAGAGCATTTCATCCTGGGCTAAACTTCAATGCGCTTACCTAGGACCATTGATGAAATGCTCCACTATATCAAGCTGTAGATGCAAACCCTGATTTGGTTTCAAGTTCTCGCGTTTCTTCTTAGTGGTCAGGCCACTCTGCTGACCAATGCATCGCTCCAGGTTCACAATCACGCGCCAAAACATGGTGCGAGTGATGGACGAGAACACCCACACTCAGCTGGTGATTCGGCTCCTGAACACGACCTCCCGTCACCACGAGGAAGGCAGAGAAGCTCAGAGGTCATCGATCACGTTCTAACTCCTGTCCCGAACCCACTGGATCCGGTTCAGAAGCTCAGGTCTAACGACAGACCGCTTAGGCAAGCAGCACAAAATGCCGACCATCTCAGCGACCGCACCGGAATGTCGACGTCACTGTCACCCGCACAAAATTTGCCAGCCGTCGCACGCAGCCGCCTCTATCCCGGGAATATCGCCAAAAACAGGAAGAACGCTAATCGACGAGGAACGGGGGCGACCAAAACGCACCTAAAAGCAGCCCGCAACAACTCCAGCCCCACACCAAACTCATCCGTCTCTGAGTCCCACCGCACCAACGCCACCAACCCCAGCATCATCAAGGGCCTTCTGGGCATATCCAACGGTCCCGAAAAAGAGGACTCCCAGGAGGAGTCCAAGCGGGTGCTGAAGATGACGACGTCCATCCGGAGCGCCGTCGTCACCGCCTTCCTGGAGCTGCGGCAGATGCTGCACGGCACCGAGGACAAGCGCTACCTATCGCCGCGGACGGGCGACTGGTCACTGGCGCTGGGCATCGGAATAGCGCTCGGCTCGGTGCTCGGCGTCCTGATCGGCGCCATCGTGGTGACCAAGCGTCTCTTGCCCCTTTCCGAGGTGGAGAAGGACGAGCATGCACCCACCGCTCTGGAACGGCTGCCTCTGTAGGAGGTCAGTGAACCCGGGCCGGCCTTGTACGGTGGAGAAGGGTCCGAAGTGTGAACCAGTATTCACCCACCACCCTGGATCGGCCGCCCCTGGCGGAGGTCAGTGTACTCAGGCCGGCCCGTTTCCCGAGGTCACCCCGTGACCTGGGTTGTTGGGCTGCCGGGTACCTTACCTGCACAGTTATGGCGTCACTTGATCCAAACCGAACCAACATCTCGCGTCGCCAAGCTGGACCAACCAACTCTCTGAAGACGCATCATTTGGACCGAAATATTTTGTGAAGACACCTGACCTAGACCGGTTGATCGTCGGGAAGCCGCCAATCTACACTGGACTACCCTACGACAGACGCTGGCCGGCGTCTGCCTGTTTCCTGGGGTCAGCCTGGTCCCAAGACTGTCTCCCATCCAACATGTGTTAACTGATAAAGGCATGGCTTTGCAAACGACCACCGTATTTTGAGACCTCATGGTCCTCCGGTGATTACAGCACATGCTGAACCCTCATGGTCCTCTGGCAATCACGGCCCATGCTGAGCCATCATGGTCCTCCGGCGATCACAACGCATTGAGCCCTCATGGTCCTCTGGCGATCACAGCGCATTCTGAGCCCTCATGGTGATCCGGTGACCACAGCGCATTCTGAGCCGTCATGGTGCTCCGGCGATCACAGCGCATGCTGAGCCTTCATGTTTCTCCGGCGATCACAGCGCATGTTGAGCCCTCATGGTCCTCTGGCGATCACAGCGCATGCTGAGCCCTCATGGTGATCCGGTGATCACAGCGCATGCTGAGCCCTCATGTATCCCCGGCGATCACAGCGCATGCTGAGCCCTCATGGTGATCCGGTGATCACAGCGCATGCTGAGCCCTCATGTATCCCCGGCGATCACAGCGCATGCTGAACCCTCATGGTGCTCTCGCGATCGCAGCGCATGCTGAGCCCTCATGGTGCTCTCGCGATCACAGCGCATGCTGAGCCCTCATGGTGCTCTCGCGATCACAGCGCATGCTGAACCCTCATGGTGCTCTCGCGATCACAGCGCATGCTGAGCCCTCATGGAGCTCTCGCGATCACAGCGCATGCTGAGCCCTCACGGCGATCCGGCAATTACAGCGCATGCTGAACCCTCATGTATCCCCGGCGATCACAGCGTCCTCTTCAATCTTGCGCTGAAAACCTCCGCATTCTCCAAGCTGGAGCTGCCCGGCAGGCGTCAGAGCCTCGTGCCGCCCGTAGAGAATAAAGCAACTATACAGGAATCACTAAGCTGCCAGGAAGTGCACGAGCCCACTACAAAACAGATATATACTCAAACGAAATTGCACACGGAAATGTTTAAGCTACTATTTTTTCACAGAAGATAACTTGAGCTAAACTGCACACTTGTATCGCTTACATTTAACCGCATCAATGATATGGTCCTGCTGATTTGGAAAAAAGCGTTTGACTCCGCAAGTACATATTTCACCGCTTGCGTTTGTCATTTTATAAGCCTTCTCGGCTATTCTCCCACGACAAGCAGGGCTTGCCGCTGTCACCAGGACCGGACCCTCATCACCAGCGGAGCTGTGCCTCGCCCCACGGGTCTGCCGGTCCTCCCTGACCCCTGATCCGGCGCCTCGAGTCGTCCGTGTATACGAGATCGCCCGGCCGGCTGTGGTTCTCTCACCATGCCTCAAACATTGGCGGGCGCATCAGAACGTGCGGGTGTTGGACAATCTGATCTGAGACGGTGTGGCCAATGGCAGAGTACAGAAAGCGTGAACTAGGTGGCTTGTATTGGAGAATGCCAGCTTGGCACAGTCCTGGGGTTTACTTCCGCCCCGTTTGCCATCCGTGACACCCGTGCGCGGCTCCCCCGCGCCTGTCACCTCACCGTCGCGGAACTCCACTATGGGCCGACGACCAGGGGGCCTGTACCTGTTGCCCAGAGGAGGGAGGGACGGCGACGGCGCCCTGCCGGACCGATGCGAAGCCCTCAGCGTGTGCGGTAGCCGCCCCCAGCGATGCGCTGGGGGCGTGTCTGCTCCAGACACTGCATCACGCACGATCCTGCGCCTGTTCCTCCGCCTGAGCATGCCTCGGGCGGCTCCATCCGGGCAAGTCTTACACAACCCATGTTTATAATTATGATCGCAAGCATAGCTGTGTGACCATCAGGCCTACTCACATGTATCCACGCGATGCATCTAAAAATAGACGTACACGTACGTCCAACAACCATCACACAATTTTCGCAGAACCCGCAATAGTCATTTAACATGTCAGGTCATTGGCCAACATTTCGGGCAGCTTGCAGCAGCAACTTAGAAAGTACATATATAACACTACACGGGACGGTTAAGTTAGTTTTCAGCGCAACAAACAGTTGTTGCATTACCTGCCTGAGACTTCAGGTAAGGGGTGAAGAGGCGCCAAGTAGGTCGCGATGAGGCGTTTCCTTCGCCTCTGTTCACTCGCACGACGGGAGCAGCAAAAGCCGTATCTCCCGGGCAAGAGATTGCTAGTTAATTGAGAAAGATTATAATACACGCTAAATTTCGTTGGCATTTGTTTGCTACGCCTGCCATTTCGTTTGCGAAGTGATTGACCTCAGTAAGCTAGATATTTTCTTGGTACCGGGTACCTCCGCTTTAACCATTTGAGTCAGCAATAGGTTTCAGAAGGTTGAAATTATATTACCACGGGTTCGCATTCTGTTAAACACGTATAGTAAGATATATGGCACACTTTTATACCACACAACATCCACAAAATTTACGGCATTCACGCCGCCATCCACAAATAAATGGCCACGTTTCGGTTTTTACGACAGGGATCAAACAACCACATTTACGCCCCACGAAACGACAGCTGAACCATTGGCCGAGATCGCACGCTGTCGCATATTCATCGACTTGGTCGCCAGGTGGCACCACCCACGGTCGGTCGGGCGTGAACAGCATACAGCAAGCATATACCGCGAGGACGCGTGACCCAATACAACGTCTGCCATCTCAGAGGTCGGGGTCGGAGGGCACCACCCAGCGGGCGCGTGTGGCCGCGCTGCACGAGCTGATGCTCGGCGCATGATAATCCATCGCCACACCTGTATGCCAGGTGGCCTGCCGCCCGGTCTCAGCCGGGAGCAAGTCAAAGGAGCGGGCTCGGCACACTCGTGCTCGACGGCCGGTCTCAGCCGGGAACAAGTCACAGGAGTGGGCTCGGCACACTCGTGCTCGACGGCCGGTCTCAGCCGGGAACAAGTCACAGGAGCGGGCTCGGCACACTCGTGCTCGACGGCCGGTCTCAGCCGGGAACAAGTCACAGGAGCGGGCCCGGCACACTCGTGCTCGACGCCCGGTCTCAGCCGGGAACCAGTCACAGGAGCAGGCTCGGCACACTCGTGCTCGACGGCCGGTACCCGCACAAGGCTGGCAGGTATGTCACACGGCATTGCTCTCAAATCTTCATTAACAGCTGTTTCAGAGACAAGTCGGTTTAAATGGATCGGGCCTCTTAAAAATCGTCTTGAAGCTAAACATCTGGGAGGTCTTGTCATAGTGCCGTAATTTATGTGACAGCTAGGTACTCGCGTATGAATGCTGTGCACGGTAACAGCTGCACGACTTTCTGAGGGACGAGCCCGATCTCTGAAAAGCTCCTCCAGGTCTTTACAGACATCCAAACTCGGGGACCTCCGAATGCTCACTGGAGCCTATTCAAGCCGCTTTCAAGCACTGATGCAGTAATGTGATCTCTGGCAATCCTGGCAATGCTCGTCTTCGGCTGCGCCGCAGAATGTCATCGGCGCCCTCCCACACCGGCTTCTACAACCAGTACCGGCTGGACGCCGGCAGCCCGGCCGACTTCGGCACCAGTCAGTGGCAGGAGCGCTCCGACATATCCTGGAGTTACGTCTTCTTCAGCGTCAGCAGCGCCCTCTTCCTCAACGTCGAGGTGTTAGTGAAGGTACTGTTCGTCGTCGGTAGGAGTTCAGGGCGCGTTCAGGCAAGGTAGGTAGTACAGAGGAAACGATGCACAGTTCTTTTTTGTCAGGAAGCTCTAAAGACGATCGGAAATAAATTACGGTATTTGCCGCAGATCTAAAAAAGTTCGAATAACGCTGCATCAAATCGTTTGTTGAATCTTTCATTCGATCAACTCGGGGGCATAAGTTTTCCAAATTACGGAACAGCTTAGAAACAGGTCAAAACAAGCCCTGATTTGGTCGGCCAGACATCGCAGCGATATAACACAAAAACTATGCAGGTGAAATAGTTTGAACCAAACGTACTGGCAAAACCTATGCACAGGCTGTGAGCCGACGCTGTCAGCCGGTCACGCGTTCGCCTACGCAGACCATGGGTCCGACCATTTTGGGTAGGTCTGGTGTCAGGTCTAGGCGATCAGAGCAAGTACAGAAATGACATCAGCTGTTCGGCAAACACGCCGTCCAGATCTCATTAAGCCAGATCAGGTACAGACATCACGCCAGCTGTTGGGCAAACACGGCGTCTAGATCTCATGAAGCCAGATCAGGTACAGACATCACTCCAGCTGTTCGGCAAACACGGCGTATAGATCTCATGAAGCCAGATCAGGTACAGACATCACTCCAGCTGTTCGGCAAATACACCGTCTAAAACTCCTGAAGCCAGACCAGGTGCAGACATCACACCAGCAGTCCGGTAAACAAGCCGTCTAGACTCATGAAGCCAGATCAGGTATAAACATCACACCAGCTGACCAGCAAACACGCCGTCTAGAACTCATGAAGCGATGGCATCACTGGTCGACCCACAGACGCGTCCGTAAAAGCATCGCTCTCGTCCACTGAAATTGTCAGGACTAGCGCCGGGCTCGATGTCAGCCAATATTCCAGCATAATCACTGGCATCTGTAAATATTGTGTGAACGCGAAAAATCCGCGTGCATCTGCCTCATGTCATGACGAAAGGGCGATATTGCAAGGCATCGATAAAACCTAATCGTTTGTAATAAAGCAAATCAATCAGTTAATCCATGGCATCATGATAACTGCTGGAGTGACAAGTGGCCGAAACGTTACGCGTAAACTAACACACCAGACGAGGACGACAATCCCGGCAATGGTCCCATCCGTTGGGAAGCTTGTCGCCGGTCTTGCAGTCCCTGGGAAGGACCCGACGTCTGGTGCAGCTGCTGGACGCGCCCTGACCGGCCACGGCTGGCGCAGGTGTTGATGCCGGCAGAGCACGGTGGCTGGTGGGACGGCGCTCACTTCGCCTCCCACTTCATCATCTACCTGACCAACTGGACCCAGTGTCTGCTGGCCCACAGCGCGATGGTGTCGGCCGGCCTGGCACTCGAGCACGTGTACCGGGTCAGGAAAGGTCAGTGGGTCAGGTCAGGTCAATAGACGTGGCTCCGACGCGACCTTCCACTCTGTTTGATAGTGAGACACAAAAGGCGCCAAATTTATACCAAACACAGCTGCACATAGATCCACAAAGTTGAATATACACAACAGTCAATGCCATCCGGTCAACAGTGGTCTGTTCGTGTGGGCTGTCAACAGTGCAGAGCATACATCTGTACGTCGCTCGACGTCCATTGCATTCTCGTCGAACGTTTTGACCTTTAGTAACATTACAATGGAAGCCTTTTATAGCAGTGATAGGAAATACGGCAAAGGCATGTCGACGCCATGCCGTGACGTCTTACTTATATTTGGGCTGATCTGTTGGATTTTCGATTTTACAGACATCAAGGAAGTAGTGTCGACGTCTTATTAAACAGACCCATGTTTTCGGCGATATTGGCCATCTGGAATACATCACGCGCTTCATAAGATATTGACTCCATTTCAAAGAAGCCCGCAAAATCGACAGCCAACCAATGGTTCAAGTGATAGCAGCCTGCTTCCCTGCACATCTGTCACATGAGACAGAATCTCAAAACTTAATCACCTGGCCTTCTCATTAAGGCATGATAACATCGTCTGCTTCTCAAGGCCTGCTGATAGAGGCTGGCCGCCTTCCGTTCCGCTACCGCTGGAGCTGGCTAATGCACAACATCAGCGCGGCGCTCGTGTTCACCGTCACCATCGCCTTCTGGCCGAGCGTGTTCCAGCCGGACTCGGAGCAGCCGCCCAGCTACTTCACCGTCTCGTCCCCACGGCGGCAACAGCGTCTACGTCCTCCTGCTCCTCTTCATCCACCGGTGCGTCCCTGAACACAGCGCCCGCGCGTGGGCGCTGGGGACGCGTTCTCTCCTACCTTTAACCGGGGAGGGGATGCGCTACAGGCCCTCCACACATTTAGGCCTCACACCTTCAGAGTCAGGCCTGAGTTCTGCTGAGGTTAGGTTTGGTCATATACCTCTTGACCAGCTGATGAATAAGTCGTCTGGTGTACATGCCCGCTCCCTGTGCCACTCCGCACTCACTTTCCCTGCCGCTCCGTACCCGCTTCTTCTGCCGAGCCTCCGTCGACCGCAGAGTGCCACGGTGTCCACCTGTACTGCCGTCCCTCCCCTCTCCCCTGCTGACTATCCGCTAACCCGGCTGGCCGCCGCGGTGTTCCCCTGCACTGCCGTCCCTCCCCTCTCCCCTGCTGACTGTCCGCTAACCCCGCAAGATGCCGCGGTGTCCCCCTGTACTACCGTCCCATCCCTCTCCCTGCTGACTGTCCGCTAACCCCGCAGGATGCCGCGGTGTCCCTTTGTACTGCCGTCCCATCCCTCTCCCTGCTGACTATCCGCTAACCCGGCAGGCCGCTGCGGTGTCCCTCTGTACCGTCATTGTAACTCCTCCCGCTGACCATCACGTGCAACTGCAGGGCACCCCCGCCGTCCCTCTGTACCGCCGTCCTCACCCCACTCCCTCGGCTGAACATTCGGTACTCCCGCAGGGTGCCGCGGCGTCTCCAGTACCGCCGACCTGCCCTCCCCCCTCCCCTCCCCCCCCCCCCCCCCACTGACTATCCGGTACCACCGCAGGGTTGCCGCGGCGTCCCCCTGTACCGCCCCGACCTGCCCCCCCCCCCTTCTGCTGACTATCCAGTACCCACACGGGGTGCCGCGGTGTCTCGCTGTACCGCCGACCTGTCCCCCCTCCCCCCTGCTGACTATGCGGTAATCCCGCAGGGTGCCACGGCGTCCGCTACACGTGCTGCAGCCGGCGGCGGTGGCGGCGCTCTACCTCTGCTTCACGGCTGTGTACACGACGCTGGGGGGCACCACCGAGCACGGCCACACAGCCTTCTACCCGGTGCTCGACTGGCACCAGCAGCCGACGGCCGCCGCCCTGTTCGCGTTCGACCTAGTCATCGGCGTGCCCATCTCGTTCTTCGTGGTGGTAGCGCTGGCGCTGGCGCGGGAGGCCGTCTGGAGGCGCTGGAAGGGGGTCAAGGTATCGCAAGGGGAGCAGGCTCCTCTGCAGAGCGGAGGCACGCAGGAGCGGTACGACACGTGGCCCTGAAGATGGTGCTCATGGAACGAGGACAGCCGTTCGGGCAGGGCTAAGAACTGGCATGTGTACGTCTGGTCTAGCAATTATAATAATGCGTGGTCTGGATTTACCTGTCTCAAGCAGTCTTCGTATACAGCACCACAGAGCTATCATCTGCAGCCAGGCCTCAGTTTGACGGGGCTCGCAGTTCCCCGGTTTGTTGGGGCGTGCCGTTCCTTTTGAGTGTGTGTCGTTGGTCACGGTCCCATTCAGGTGATCAGGACCTGTGAGTGTCGGTGGTATAAGCTCAGGTCGGGGAGTCGAGCTTCACGTCTTTTTGGGAGCTCAATGGACCTCACAAAGCGATTCGCAGCTTCTCACCCACAGGTGAGCTGTCGCCTACAATCATGTTGTTAAGTCTTCAAACAAGGAACGAGGATGTGTGCCCCGCTTTCAAACTCAAGGTAGCAAAAAGGTCCCTGAATTGACACAAACTATTTAGCTGGTGAAATGTCTACAACGTCGCTCATTCATGAGGGCAGTATCAATTAGCCTGAATATACAACATTGTCTATGCATTGATATCAGCTCCAGAGCCTTGCTTCAACTTTCAGAAGAAACCACAAGAGATGTTTGTACGATGCGCACCCTGATTCGATGTTCCCACATTTTATGCATTGTTTGTCGCATACGATCAACGATGCAATGACCTATTGTACGCTGCAAGGTCGTTAATTACATTTAGCTGTTCTCGCGGCCGCCTGAGTAGTCACTTTTGATGCCGAGCAGCACTACAGAACAGTAGGACTTCACCACTCGAGCCGGCAGTCTCGTAGTCAGCTGTTCCCTGTGCTAAGTTTACATCACTGTCGACATAACTTTATCGTTCGCCCCCTTCCCAAAAGGGAATTTTATTTCCAACAGTGGCGTAACAGTCCAAATTCCGCGGATATGAGTGTAAGTTTTAATTACTTAACGATGGAGGTCGTAAACGATCTTTTTGCAAGCTTCTTCCAACAAAGGCAAATGGTCCTAAGCCTAGCATTAAGTAAGAAACCTGCATTTTTCACCTGACAAAAGGCACCTGTTGGATTTTTTGGGCGTCGGATTTTTGATCATTTCTTGCCGCTAAATCTTTGTTTTTAGCATACGGTGACCAGCTGTGGCAGCAATTTCTTCACTAATACGTGCGTGACTGCCGAGTGTTTCTATTGTGGGCATATCTTGCACATGCTGCACCTTCCTGAGGAAAGCGACAAATGGATCTGCGTGAGTCTCACAAAGAAATCGCAAACTACCTTTCCTTATCTGCACTGATGGCTCCTTCATCATTCAAATACCGTTTGGGGAACACGTCTAATCAATGCTAAATATCTGGTCGGTTTAAACCTTGTGCAGCAGTAACATCCTCCCGGCTGCGGCCCATACAACTGGCGCCGTCCACAATATTCTGGCGTGTTTGGGGAGGTGCATTGGTTCGCAGAATTTAGGTGAGGCGACAGAAGGCACGCGCTCCCGTTATCAACGCCACTTGGTCCCGGCACCAGGGGAGTTAATATACGGCTCTGCCGGGAGTGCATGAAAGACGTAACGCCCTTTTATCTTCACGGGCGACGGGCGCTCATTAGAACCGGGCAACGTCAAGTCCGTGGTGTAATTTGCAGTCGCATGGGGGAAATACACTGTGCACTGATTTCAAACTGGGTCAAGCCGAGAAAGGGGATCAGCTGTGAGATTTGTCGGAGCGACTGCCACTTAGTCCCTGGTCCATTTTCCATGTCCCATTTTCATTTGTCAACGTGCTACTATTCGGCACGTTGACCAGATTGAGGCACCCAGTTTGAAAATGGGTTTTCAGAAGCGATGTGATGTTTCCACACAATAAATAATCGGCCCAATCAGTTGCTTCATTTAACTATTTACTCGCACTGAATTCACTTTCCCTATTTAATACGTCAACAGGTGTGCAATTATCTATTCAGTTGGAGGGGCTTCAGTTCCGACTTCGTCTCCACCCCCCAGCTTTCATAGAAAGATGAGCCAAATGAGGAGAGAAACTCTGTTGGCAAATATTACGGGTCAGATGCATAACTTTTTTCGTGGTTAAGCCCGCATCGCTTCGCGAAACTTCACCCCTGTTGCTCATCCAGCTCGTTGCTGACAAATTCTCATTCGTTCCGCTGCTCATCGACCCAATGTATTTTAATTTTCGCTTCAGTAATGCAGGAAGTATAGAAGAAACCGTCGTTTTTTTGTAAAGAAAACTGGTTTGTTTCAACCCACTGGCTGTAATAAGCATGAAAAACTCCTTACGCGCCCTACGTGAAATTGTGTGCTTCAGAACGGCGCAACACGACGTGCATACATGTGTCTGGCAATTACAGGTTTGTTCGAGCTTGCAGACTACAATCCTTTACGTTCCGAAACTTGTGAGAGGCGCGTACCCCATGTCCCCACGGTGTCGCCAGTCCTGATGGCGACGCCCCTGAAGGTACGGCAGGCACGAGGCTGAATAAGGCAGGCTGTGAAACGATGAAGACTCAAAGTTGTCCCAAACCTTGGCGGGAAGAAAGGAGATGTCTGAGAGATGTCCCTCCCCAGAGATGAGATGTCCCTCCCCCACGAGGACTCATTCGGCTCCCCCGTCGTCTACTCTGGGGACGAAAGGAGTAGTCATTATAATAAAAAGGGCGCCCAACAGCTGGAAGCAGCCCTATGGCTAAAACGGTCAACAAACGTTTGCAGATACGTCCCGACGGCCAGCAAAACAGCAAAGCCCTAAACGATAAACAGATTCCTTTAAGCCCGGGAGGGGGGGGGGGGCTCAAAGTCCGCCACTAGCGCCCAAAACTTGTCGCACCACCAGGTCTAAGACCCTTTTAAAAGGACAATTTCAAAAATAAAATGCGCCAAATATTGACGGAGCATGCCTGAGGGGCAGAATGGGGTGCTTGTTGCTTGAGAACATTTCCCAATCCGGAAAAATGCTGCCCTTGATAGTAGAAAGACGCCTTAGCCCAAAGAGGGACGTCCCTGAGGACGCAATAGATATCCCTAAGGTGAGAAATTATGCCTCGAGGCCGAGAATAACGACCTAAAGAATATGGTGTCCCCAAACCCGGAGGGGTGCCCACAATAGCCCATGGAGCGCTCCCGGCACACGAAAAAAACATGCTGTAGGGATGAAAATAAAAATTAAGAACAGAATGACGTCATTGAGACTTACAAACGTGTTAAAAGGGCGAGGACGTCTTGAAAAAGGACGTTCCAATTTTAACACGCGCCCGGGTGGCCGGCTAGATACCCTTCGCCCGGGAGTCAATTTGACCCCCCACCCGAGCAAAGCCAGAGAAGCCGAAGCCACCCACCCCCAACCTAAGAGAGCCAGAAACACCAAATTTACAGGGTATGTTGAACTGTACGTGAACCCACTTAGGTCAAGTGTAAGGTTACTAGGTCATGACCTTCGGGTCAAATAAGGTTAAACAAGGTCAAGTTCCAGGTTGGTCTCCAAAGTGTCCCCAGAACCTAGATAACTGTTTTTAAGCTAAAAGTCACACGCTCATTTAAGGTCACCGACCTTGTTTGACCTTTTGAAGGTCATGGTGACCAAAATCACAAAAGACTGTTCTCAGTCTTGCATTTGAATAAACGACAATGATTACGCTAGGCAGTATGTCTCCAAAAACAAAATGTCGGCCTACGTCATTTTCGGTCACTAACCTATTCTGGCCTCTAAGAAGTGTATAGCATATGTACAATGCGGTTCCTGCTATCAATAAATTCGAAATGAGCACCGAAAACTATCCCTTACAGCAAGCCTGAGGAATAAAACAGGTCGGTTTTGACCTTGGTCTGCCACTCATACCTGACCTTAGGTCAACGTAATTCCCCCATTTAACATGTGTTGCCTAAGAGAGCACTTCAGAGATGTATGCCTTTGTCAAACACTACGTTGTTGCATCAGATTGAACGATTCCCTGGAAATTAGCTCCGCTGAAATCATGGCCTGACTTTGACCCCCCATATGTCTGCGACCTTACAAGGTACATCCACAAATTTGATACTAAAAAACCGCCATTCAATTATCTACAGCTATGCAAAATTGGGCTGTGCCGCGCAGTTCGGAAACCATTCTGGAAAAACCTTCGAGGGGGGGGGTCAAGTTGACCCCACCCGAGCGCATGTCAAAAGAAGCGGGACCAGAGGATCAAAGGGCGCGCCGCGGGTCTCAAAAATGCTAAGATTCAAAACAAAAATATCTGAAAAAATGTCCATTTACACACGACGCTGCTGCCGTGGAGTTGCCGCCGAACTGACTATAGGTTCAAACCACCTGCGGTCATAGTTCAGCTCAGGCAGATGACTATTCCCATAAAAACTACACACGGGAGCTTCCGTGCGTATAACCAAGAGGGCTCACTCTTACCCGCTACGCGGTACGTTCTCCGTCGCACACCTTTCAGAGCTTAGTTCGGACGGCAGCATCAACTAAATGCACATGTCCTCAGCACACTACCTCGGATGGCGGAGTGGTTTTGGTCACAAACAGCACGAGACCTCGGAGTACTTTATTGCATCGCAGACAAGCCTACAGTACCGTAACGATCAAAGGTCACAGCTACGACCACCGCCACCGCCTCACAGCTGGAGTTATTGAATGTCGTCTGCCGCAACAGGACAACTGAGGCGCCCCTCGAGCCCCAGCATCGTACCGGTCACGTGACATCGGTCGCGACGACTCCTTCCGTGCGGCTGGGCAACGCTACACTACGCCACCGACGCCAGGTGCTAGATATGACGAGCGGTCAGGGCCACGCAGAGCAGCCAGACCAGCGCCGCCGGAGAGCTCGGCGAGCTTTGGACGCCGTCAGCTCTCAACGCGACGGATTTTAAATCAGACGGAACCAAACGGGGAAGAAGACAAACAGCGCTAGCATGTGCCATTCAATCAATGACAGCGAGGGGTATCTACTGATAGCCAAGCTATTGGACGAAGGAAACCCAGCAGCACAGAACCTGGCGCGATC